TCTGTGCAAAAGTTTGCAAATTAGTTCTTCTGGGGGAGTTTGTGTTTTTTTTATTTTTTGCTGCCGCTCTTTGTTGACCTGCACAGCCAAGTGATTTCATTTCTGCCATAACACATTAATGCATCACTGCAGCCTCCGTTGTGTTGGACTGGCTCGCACGACGATGTAACGCCGTGATTGCATTTGTATGCAAAATGTGTCGGTGGCGGGGGGGTTAACAGATTGAGCGCAGGGTAAACACTGCTCGTGAAACTCTCGGCAGGCACCCCTTTTTGCTATGAGGCTGGCCGAGCAGATAATCCGTCGCAGGATTAACACGCGATTGTTATTTAACTCGGAGCGCACATACACATACACGGCAGCAGCAGCAGCGGCGGCGGCAATATTTCACATTCGTTCTGCAATGCTTTTTTTTTACGTGACTGCACTGTGTTCTAAATTACCTTAACTATATATATTTTTTTCTCTACGAATAAACACGACTTTGTAATCATCGGTCATGTTCTAGCCACTGCCGGTTGAGGGCCAACAATGTCAGATGTGTCCGGGAATCCTAGCTCCGATCGAACGGTTCACAATGGAGTGCACTCACCGTTGCACCACTGCTATTGGGCCTCTATGAATTTAATGATAAAACTGAAACGGATTAAATATTTTATTTATGTATTCTTACTGATGTGGGGGGTGGGGGGGAATTGGTGTATTTCCAGGTGCAGCTTCTGGTTGTGGTAGTGGATGAGCGAACGAAATTACTGTCCCCTCGCTTCACTTTGGACTCGGCAGCGCGCACGCAACGCAGATGTTCAATCGGTCGCTGTGCTCACTCTTGCCGGATGGGAGAACCTTTGAGCGACGCCGTCCCTTTTGAAATGGAGACCTCGCGCCCGCACAAAGGAGGGGACATTAATACGGGCGTTTGTTTCAAAATGGCTCGTGGCTTACGGGTGGGTGACGGCGTTTGTTAACTTGTCATCATGTGTCCCCGCGATCCTCTGAATCCTCTTGCCCTGGGGCTCTGATGCCCCCTGCTACTGATCTTGGGTCGGTGCTCGCACGAGCCAGCCGGGAGCGTCTGCACACGGACACTCGGTCCGAGATCTTGATCATGCTGCAATGTGATGATTCGCAGCGCTGCGATTCGCAATCCAGAGGTCACCGGTTCAGTTTGATCCTCGTGCGTGGCCGTTGATGCAATGTGGCGAGCTTCTCAAATCCTCAAACCCGGCACCTTCTGTCCACCCAGCGGTACAAATGGGTAAATCGATCGGCAGGCCACATGTGTGGCGGGGTCAAGTGTGAGTAATGTCACCTCTTCCAAGATGTCCTGCCAGCGTGGACTAGTAGGTCAAAAACCCTTTAGCGGGGGGCTCTCTTGAGCTTCCTTTGGTAAGAGGCCCTTCCACCAGCGGCTGCATGAGCAAGCAATTGCAGGGCTGCACCTTAACCCTTTTTTGTTTCTACCCCCCTGCACTGCTCTGACCTCATCACGACAGTCGGAGGGACCGCCTTGACCCCCATCACAATCCAGTTGACCCCATCTCTGCGGGGGTCAATCCCGTAACTGGATAAGTGGGCAGGGTCGGGCACTTTGGGGTCTACAGCTCCGGAGTTTATGGGTGATAATCTAGATCTGCCAGCGGTACGTGGAGGGCATGTGGAGCATCGCTGCGGCGGGTGCGGAGCGCAGAGCGTCGCGGCTCTTCTCCAGGTGACGTTCGTGCCGAGACAGTGGGAGGGGCCTGGTTAGCGTCGACAAAGCCCCTACGGGAGCTGGCTCCGGCTGGCCAAGGTGGTGGGTGGGGGGGGCAAAAGTGGCGGTAGTCCTCACGGCTGTTTTCGTCCGAGACGTCGCGCTGGTCGTCAACGTGAGGGAGCCCCGCCTGGACTGGGTCTGCGCTTTGTCGTGGGGAGACGGTGGCGCGCTGCCAATCCGTAGCCCATGAGCAACCGAGAGGCTTTGGTCGGTTCCCTCTGGGGTGGCATTGCCACTGCTATGCACTAGGCGCCTTGGGCAGAAATCTTACCGTACATATTGTCTGTTTTGATAGACACACTTGCTGTTTATTTCTCCATCAAAAACTACTTTTTCTGTTGCTGTCTTACATCATAGTATTCTAGAGGTAAACTCTTTCAAACGCAAATAATTGTGACAATTTCCCAGCCCGTGTGGTACTGGTAATTAAAATTGTTTGAGCAACGTGAGTGACTGGGCCGTGGCTCTGGGAAGTTGTTGCAGAGGAAGAGCCGTGTATTGTCCAAGCCAATGTGGTCGTGACATCGCATTCACGTCCCAGCAGCCGTCATCGTCGGCACCATCTGTTCCCGACGCTTAGTGGAGAGTCCCCTGTTGATTCCCGCACGCTTGTTGAGGACTCTTGTTTACCCCTCGCTCACCGTTTCATCTCAACCCACTGCCGCGTTCAACCCCCACCACACCCACGCGCTCGCAGCTCTCCTCGTCCTGCTTCTCACCTCGCGCCACTTCCGCTGTCAAATTCCCTCCCACGGCCTCCTTCGCCATAGTTTGTGTGCTCAAAAAAGAGACGTATTAACCATACTCTTTGGTTCTTTCGGTAAACTCGCGTAGGTAGAAAAAATAATAATAATATATCACGAGGTTTCGATTGCAACACAAGCGATCGTCCTCAGGTGGAAAAAAATAATCCAGCAATGGAACTGCTGGACCAGGAATAACCCGATATATTATATTTTATTTTTCTACCTACGTGATTTTACCGAAAGAACCAAAGAGTATGGATTCCTGCAGTCACGAAAGCTTCAAATCAAGATTAGACGTAATAATTCTAAATCAATTACAACTTCAACAAAAGTTCAGGTTTTTTTTTGCTGGCTATTTGGCCTTTTTTGGGGCCTTTGGACCGGGTGCTTGGCAACCACGAATTAAAATGAGCGTTCGGGTGTTGAAAAAGGTACGGGGACTAATATGCGAAATGTAATTAACAAAAAATACAACGTGCATTTTTGTATTATTCAAATTGGAAAGTAATTCTTCTTGGGGTTTATGTGCACTGCTTTACCATGCACTTAATTTTTGCCTGATAAAAGGAAGAAGATTTATATTTAAAAAAAATGTTTACTTAAGAAGGATCTAAGATCCTCACAGCTGAAATAATCCCATTGAAGAAAAGTGTGGGTGGTGTGGGTGGTGTGGGCGATGTGGGTGGGGTTGGGGGGGATAAATTAAGAATCTTGAAATCGGTGCGTGATTGGAATATCTTTTCTCGTTGACGCCCTTCGTGTGTTGCTCGCGGCCCTGTCGTTATGGAGGGATAGTGCCGTCCAAGCCTCCGCGCTTTTCTCGTTGCTGTTTAAACAGTGGGGGGGGGGGGTGGCGAACACGAATTGAATTATTTTTGGATGGGGAAATTCCTTTCGGCTCGTTGGCACGCAGCGAGCGCACGTGGGATTGTGCGCCAGACTGGGTGCTACGGGGACGGATTTCACGACTTCTTCCGCTGCGCCTCGACGCGCGTTTCACGTGTCAGCTCCTCGCTATCGTTGAGGGTTCCTTTTTTTTCTCTCGCGCCAAAAGACTTCAGTCTGAAACTACTGAGTTGAGAACCATTATCCGTACGTGCTAATGGTTGAAAAAAGGAACCCCCCCCCCCCCCCCCCATAATAATACAGAAATGTGACAGCGATGCAGTAGAGGCTACGGGCATTATTTAGAGCAAATTAAAGTGTTTTTTGGGTCTTGCGTCTTATGCAGAGGGATGTGGTTCCATTGTGTGTGTGTGTGCGTATGCGAGTGCGGAGCGGTAGTGTGGTGCTTAACGCACGTGGGGAGCGGTAGTGTGGTGCTTAGCGCACGTGGGGAGCGGTAGTGTAGTGATTAGCACGCTGCGCTGTGAACCCAGCGACCCAAGTTCGATTCCCGCTCACAGCCAGCACCAGTGACGATTATTTGAACCGGTCCTGGGCCTCCCCTAGGTCGACTCGGCCTCAAATGAGTGCCTGGTGTGGTTTGTAAACATCGCTGCTCGGGAGTCAAATGCGGCCAGGCATGGTGCTGGCAACCCCACCCCCTCGTGTACCGTTCCCGCATTCAATGGTGGCTCACAAACAGCACTTGCCCCAACAGTCTGTTAAGGCTATACGGGGGATATTTGTCTTTGTATGCGAGTGGGGCGTGGAGGCGCAGTGGTTCATGTGCTGGGCTACGAATCTGGCAGCTTTTGTTCGATTCCCGACTGTGGCTAGCTTCAGTGGCTTTAGAACCTGCACCGGGTGTCCCAGCTATAGTGCGTACACATCAGCACACATCAGCATTGGGGAGACAGAGGTGGTGTCCGGGCGTGGTACTGGCCTCACCATTCCCTTGTGCCGTGCGCTGACATTAATTGATTATTTTGTGCACAGCACTTGCCTGAAGATCCTGCGTAGCGTACAAGGGGATCTTTGTCTTTGTGAGGGTGTGCATGACAGTTGGGAATGTGCGGCGCTGGCTTACGGATGAGACGTACACTTCTCTCATTTCTCCACGTGTTTATCTTTGCTGCTCAGTTCAATTGGAGGCACTTAACCCAAAAGCCTATATGGGCTATGGAGAGGTCGGAGGGGATTTTAATGTGTGGGGAGCGGTGGTACAATGGTTAGCGCACCAAGCGACGAACCCAGCGACCCGAGTTCAATTCCCGCTCACGATGGATAACTGTGACGAATATCTGAACTGATCCTAGGCCTCCCCTAGATCGAATCGGCCTTAAATGAGTACCATGGGGCGCTGTGTAGTAAATATCGCCACTGGAATGACAAAGACGGCCGGGTGTCGTCCTGCCCCCCCCCCCCCCCCCGTGTGCCATGCCGGGCATCATGAGGTGCTGCTCGCTAACACCACTTTCCCCAAAAAGGTCTGTTGAGGCTATACGGGGGATCTTTGCCTCTTGCGCGCGATGGCAGTGGGTGGACGAGGCTTTGACGTTAACTCCCTCTCCCCCCCCCCCTCCACCACGTGACGCTCGTGCGCGCGGCTTGCGCAGGTTCGTCGGCGTCAAGCCATGACGACGGAGGACGGGGCTGACTCCGAGCAGCAGAAGAAGCAGCAGCAAGAGGCCAAGCAGCAGCAGCAGGCGCAGCAGCAGCAGGCGCAGCAGCAGCAGGCGCAGCAGCAGCAGGCGCAGCAGCAGCAGGCGCAGCAGCAGCCACTTGTGGAGGACGGGGCGCACGCAGACGCAGCCGCCACCACCGTGGTACCGGACGCTGAGGTTTGCCACCCGCGTCCCACTTGCCCCCCCCCCCCCCCCCGCTGCTCCCAGGACGTTGTTTAAATCGATGACGTAAACTCGAAGAACGAACATCTCCTTTTCCTTGTCTGTCGTCGTCGTGATCGTCATCGCAACCCAAATCGTCGTCAAGGGCGCCGCGGTGACGAGATGTTGACTACCTCACCTGGTACACAGGAGGTCGTGGGTTCAATCCCAACCCTGGTGCCTGTATATTTGGAGTTTGTATGTGTCTCTCTCTCTCCCCGTGGTCGCGTGGATTTTTCTCCGGGTCCTCCGGTTTTTCCCTCGACATTCAGAATCGTGCGTTTAAAGTATTTGGATGATATAAATTTCCACGCGGTAATCCACTTCGTTGAGCTATCACTTGTGGCCAGGTCGCTTCTGAAAAAGAGCTGTACATCTCAGTGGGCCTTTCCTTGGTAAGATAAAAATAAATAACAACAACGATATGCAAATGGCACATACAAATGGGAGAGAAGAAATGGACAAACAATGCTAACGAGACCGTCGAAATTAAAATGTGAGGTTTTTTTATAGTTTTTAATGACACTGTGGCTCTGGAGATACGTGGGGTGGCGAATCATTGCACGCTAACCAGGACAGTTTGTTGATAGCTCTTTGTTTACTGGCTGCTACAATCTATTTAAATTCATTTTAGCTATGGGGACCGACCACACTCCCGCTGGCACGCTGTGCGTTGTATCCACCCTCCGCGCTTCACCCACCGGTCCGCCTCCGACCGGCCCCCCCCCCCCCCACAAACCCAACCAGGAACTCAAGAAGAGCAAGGCGGCCGAGCACTCGGAAGCCAGGGATAAAAGCGAGCAGCAGTTCCTGTCCGAGGACGAGCAGGCGTCCGAAAAGACGGGCACTCCGAGCAGAACGAGCCGGTCGCCCCACAAGGCCCCCAAGCCCAAGGCCATGGCGTTCCGCGTGCTCCTGCTGGACGGCACGGAGTTCGTCAGCGAAGTCGAGGTGAGCGCACCGCGGGCGGAGGAGAAACGTCGACGATTGACCTGTGCATTGACCCCCTGGCGCGCGCGCGTGTGGGTGTGCTCGCGCGCCGGGGAGTGGGTAGTGTAGCGGCCAACACCGGTGACGATTATCTGGTCCGGTCCTGGGGCCTCCCCTAGGTCGACTCGGCCTCAAACGGTGCGGTGTGTAATCATCGCCACCAGGGAGACAAAGGCGGCCAGGTGTGGTGCTGGCCACCCACCCACCCATGCCGTGCCGGTCTTCACGGGTGCACGCTAACAGCACTTGCCCCAACAGTCTGTTAAGGCTTTAGGGGGGGATCTTTGTTGCCTTTGTGTGTGTGTTTGTGTGGGTCTGTGCATATGGGCAGGGTCTTTGTCTTTATGTGTGTTACCACCATCTCGTGCGTCGTACCAGCCATCATAGGTGCTCGCTAATAGCACTTTCCCCAACCGTCTGTGTAGTCTACATGGGAGATCTTTGCCACCTTGTTTTTGGAGGGGGAGGGAGCAGTCGTGTGGTGGCTTGGGCACTTCGTGGCAAATCCAGCAATCCTGAATTCGATTCCCCGCCTAGGCTATCATCAGTGATGGTTGTCTGAAGTGGCCCTCTGGGTCTTCCAAACAAAGGCGGCCTGGTGTGGTTCCGGCCACGACACTTCCCCGCGTGCGCCGGCCCTGCCTTCATAGGTGCTTGTTAACAGTACTTGCCCTAACAGCCTTACGCAGGCTACACGGCGGTGCGGCAAAATCTTTGTCTTTGCGTGTCTCTGTACCGAAGCGATTTGGGGCAGTGGTTTTCGAATTCTCTCGTGGCTTCATGGTCCGCTCGTCTTGGCCTCTGTCTGCGGCACATGGTGGCATTTCAGAATGAATCCCATCGGTTTTACCGGGCCAACGAGTTTATTTGTCAGCGCTGCTGTCCCATAATTGCTCCGTGTGCTGATGGGGTCCCCCGGTTTTTCCCTCCACGTTTAGAATCAACATCACGCATTTGAAAGTATTTGGCAGCTGTAGATTTCCACACGATGATAAGCCACTTCGTTGAGCTATCATTTGTGAGAGCCAGGTCACTTCTGAAAAAGAGCTACATAGCTCGGTGCGCTTTACCTGGGAATAAAAAAAATAAAAATCGTTTATAGTCATTACAAAAATCCAATATTTCTTTGGACTTGTGGTGCAGAGAGGCACGTGAACTCCTTCGCTCCCATCGCGCCCTCCCCCTGCACGTGTGTACGTATCCCGTGGGAGCAGGGTCCGTTTTTAAAAGTAGAATCCAATGGGAAGGATGAATGCACGCACACCCTGCCTCTGGGTAACTGCCCGTGTGAGGGGAAGAATTCGTAATTGTTTGGACAGTTTAATGACGGCTCTTAAAAGTAAACACTGGGCCCTCCTGCCTCGGGCACCCCAGGATCCCCAGATTCACTTCTCCGTTGCGCCGTATCCACGGCGCAATGGAGAATATCAATGCAGGCAGAGTATATTTTGCAGAATGTATGGATTTTGGAGCGGTGGGGTATTTCGTCGCGTGTGAAATTGTAGGTCAAAGAGGACATTGCTTAAAAATAACGGTGCCCTAACAATCACGTCGGTGGAATTATACTGCTTGTGTATGCTCTTTCCCTGTCAGGACAATAACAAGTCTTGATTGCGCATCAACGCATTATTGAATCCTCAAACCTCTTTGTTTATCATGCTCCGGCTGTTGGGATGTTTGGCCAATCCCTTTTTAAGTGTTTTTTTTCATGAGTTGGAGAAAGCTGCACTACCTGGAGAAAACCATTACGTGAAGTGATAATATTCGCACTCTGCATCGGTAGATCCGCTTACCTTCCAGACCCAGAGTTGAATACAATTGTAAATGTGTTGTTCGCAATTAATTGAAATCACATTGTGACCTGTAATTACGGCTAATGTTGCTTTCCCTGAATACTACATTCTGTCCTGCCACTCGTCGGCACTTATTTTGCCACGTAGATATGTCCGTCTTCAATGTGCGTCCGTATGTTGAACTTCTTTCGCACCGTACGGAGCCTACCGTGCTAATCGGAGGTCTTGGTCGCAGCGCGATCCACGAACCCGCCAACCTCGGGCAGCAGGATTGCGGATGACGAGCGCGCAGTGCCCCCGTGTCCAAAGTCAATTGCCCTCTACCAGCACGGAGCCGGTGAAGGTCGCGTTGTACGTGCGTACGTTGAACTTATTTCTCACCATACGTAGCCAACCGTGCTAATTGGAGGTGCGGGGGAAGGACAACGAGCTAAACACGAAAAGCAGTTCTAAACAAGTTAGTTTTCAATCGGGATTTAAAAGCGTGTGCCTCCCGGTGGCTTCCTAGTATCGGAAGGAGGAGCGTTCCAGACGGCCGCAGAAGGGCATCTGAAAGCGCCCGATGCGATGACGGTTAGCCAAAAGCCGCCGCCGCTGCTGCTGCGCGAGCATGACCGGAGTTCGCGTGATGGTTTACGCTCCTTGACGAGATCATGAAGGTTCATGTGTGGCAAGCACTTTGTGTGCAACGAGCGCGAGTTCATAACTTATTAGTACGGCAACTGGAAGCCAAGGCAGCTCGCCGAGCACCGGACGGACACGGTCGGATCTTGCGTTTGTGGCGGCGTCGGGCGGCGATGGTGGCCGACGTTTGCCGCTGGTGCTCTCGGGGTAGGCGTGGGCCGTGACACGGATCGCCATTCCCTCCTACGCGCGACGCCGGTGTCTGTGCTATGGCCACGCTCGTGCCGTTGCTTCCTCCTCCTCCTGCTCCTCTCTATTTGTGTGTTTTTTTTTATCAGATGGCGAAAACTGTTGACATTCATGGGGCCGCATGCGTGAGTTTGCCGGATGGTGACTAATGGCGTAGTTGTCTTTTTGGAGCAATTTAATTTGCTCGAAACGGAAAATAAAGCCATTTGTCTGAAGGGCATTGTCGTAAAAACGTGGCAGCGAGAAAGAAAAATACGGACCTGCCGGCGAAGCAAACACCTATTCCTGAACTTTAATGAGCGCCGTTAATCTGACGAACGGAACCGAGCATCGAAGTAATTTTAGATTGCGTTATTGTTTTTGTAACTTTGGCCCTTTTTAGCAATGATCGTGCCAGGGCTGTTGGTGTTAAGGAGCGAGGGCACGGATGATTCTTAAACATTGCATCCTCCGCTTGGAAAGGTTTTTATTTTAATAAGTTGAAGCGGCTGGTGGGACCCCTTGTTGGCCTTAGCGACATCATCCTGCGCGTGTGTATTTGAAAAAAACGCTTTTAACTTTTTTGGTTCTTGTTTTTTTCTCTTTTATTTGAAATATTGTTTGTTGTCAGCCTAACACGGACGCATCAGAGTACACAAAGAGATACATTATCTAAGTCTAATCACGGTTGGTTTTTACTTTCAATATCGCTATCACTTTCATTTATAGAACGTATATATTCCTGTAATCTGTCACTGTTATCTGCCTCATCTGCTGCATCGCACTGCTACCCAATCATTTATCTCGTCCGTTTCATCTGAAAGCAACGGATTAAACCTCGACGCAATTCCGCCGCGCGGAGGAACGCGGCGGTTCACCGAGCGTTCACCGAGCGGGGGGGGGGGGTGGGGTTCGCTCTGCGAGGAAGAAGCGCGCAAAACCACGGGCGACGAGCAGACCGACGCACGACGCTCCTCGCGCCTCCCCCCACCCCCCCCGTGAGATTCCAGGCCAAACGGCGCGGGCGGTGGCGCCCTGTCGGGGACTCTCGTCGGCGGCGCAGCGGTGAACGCGACGTTCGTTGAAGACCCGCGGCGAACGTTGCCTCTCCCAAGGAGCGATGTTTTGCTCGTCCATCCCTCTGCCGCTGTTGCCGACGACCCGGGGACTGTTCTGTCATCCGTGCTGCGCGCAACCGCCAACACTTCTTTCTGCTTCGTTTTCGCACACTGCTCCCCCATCGTCTCTTCACCCAAGCTCCTAAAACCTTGCTCAATTGAAGAAGAGTATAAGCTCTCATCCTGGATTATACGATTGCTAGCGCCGCTGCGCTATGAACCCAATGAACCCTAGTTCGATTCCCTGCCACAGCTAACATCGGCGGTGAGTGATATCACAACCAGTCCGGCCCTCCCCCTGCCTTCGCCGACCCACAATGCCCAGCGCGGTGAAGTACGGTCAAAATCCCCTGTGACCCACGACCTTCATCCGCCGTCCGATTGAGAATCGCTGGAATTGATCTATTCGATTGAATCCATGATAATGTTTGACACTGGCTGCTTGACATTTTGAGCCGATTTGGGCCTTTTGGGCCCTGTTGCTCGGCAACTGTGGAACTAAGCGTGCCACGGCGCCCCCCACTTTTTGCTCAAGTGCGCGAGAAGCCTGCTGCGTGACCTCGCGTGCTCGCGACGGGATCGGCCGCCCGCTCTCGTCCGTCAAGAGTGCGGGCCGCAGCTGCCGCCGCCGCCGATCTGGTTTTGCCGGTATGGGTTTAATGCTCGCCAGCACGGGCGCTGCACAGGGCTGTCGGCTAAAAACCCGAGGCTGTGCGATCCACCAGACCGGGGTGCTTCCACCCCCGCCTTCCCTGCTCCACCATCTGTGTCTCAGCGGCACCAAGGGTTGGGTTGCAGGTCACATCTGTTTGTCCGGCGCTCGCAGCAGTGGCGCTAAGCACCTCCGATTAGCGCGGTTGGCCACGTTACGGTGCGAAGGAAGTTCCAAACGTACGTGCATGCAAGCAGGGGCGCAGACGCCGTGGATGTTGTGGGTGTCCGGTTACCCCCAACGTTTTTAGAAGTGGCTCCTTAGACTTGTGGTTGTTGTTATGCTGCTGCTGCTGCGTTATGGATTTGTGAATAGCAATTAATAAAAGCGATATTTAAGCTTGAAAACCTCACGGCGGCTTCAGGTGAGGCTGAATGATTTGTTGCTCTGGTTTACAAATTACGTAGAGGCGGATGTAGGATCTTCCCATGGGGGGGGGCGGGGGGGGGGGCTGTCTGGAAATGCCAAGCTCTTTAATTTATTATC